GAGAGGAAGAGAGAGAGAGAGAGAGGAAGAGAGAGAGAGAGAGAGAGGAAGAGAGAGAGGAAGAGAGAGAGAGAGAGAGAGGAAGAGAGAGAGAGAGAGAGAGAGAGAGAGAGAGAGAGAGAGAGAGAGAGAGAGAGAGAGAGAGAGAGAGAGAGAGAGAGAGAGAGAGAGAGAGAGAGAGAGAGAGAGAGAAAGGGGTTGGTGGAAGAAAGAATATGAGAGACAGAAAGTAAGGGGTTGGAGGGAGAGAAACAGGTAAGAAGATATGGAGAGAAGGAATGAGAAGTGGAAAATAAAGTGAAGGGAGATAAATAGAACAAGGAGTTGGTAGGGGAAGAAGGAAGTATGAAGACTGAGGGAGAACAAGGGAGAAATTTAGAGTAAAGCAAAGAGAAAGAGAAAAAAATAAAGAGGTGGGAGGAGGAAATTTGGAAAATAGATAGGAGTGAAGAAAGGAGAAAGGGAGACCATGATAATGAGGAAAAAAGTGATGAGGTGAGAAAGAGAGGAAGAGATAGGAAGACAGAAGGAGAAGAAGGGAGTAATGAAGAATAAAATAACAAGAGAAAGAGGGGCTAAGAAGAGGAGAAAGAGGTAGGAAGGTAGATGGAGAAATGGAGAGTAAAGTTGTCAAAAGAGAGAGAAAAGGATGCAGGAAGAAGAGAAATGAGTGAAAAAGGGAAAAAAGAAGAGGATGATGAAGGGTAGAAGAATGGTGAGGTAGGAAGAGAGTAAAGTAAAGAGAAAGGAAGAAAACAGGAAGGAAAGAATAAGAGGGAAGGGGAGAAATAGATACAAAAGATATGGGAAAAGGAAGAAGAAATGGAGAGCAACATGAAAAAGGAAGAAGAAGAAGAAAAAAAAAAGGATTGACAGTGACAGGAAGAAATAAAGAATAAGCAGGGAATGGAAAAATTGAGTGTTGCAAATATTTTAGCGGGAAAGATAGAAAGGGGGATAGGAAGATAGAATAAGAGGAGGCAGAATAGGTATGGAAAAGGTCATTACACTATTCTCATGTAAGACAGATAGTCTAATAAATCCCTCTTATTGCTCGCAACATTAGTATTAAAATAATTGTTTTATATTCCCAGATACATCTGCGAAAACTTGGAAAACTGTAGTCAATTTTCGCCAGACTTGATTGTGGAAGTTTCACACCCAGTTATATCAGAAAAGGTTAGTCTTAATGTAATAAGAAAGATACTATTATGCTGTTTAATATCCTTGGGATGAGTTGCAAATTTCCTTTTAAATAATTTATAATATAGTTAAATATTCAACAAAACTGCTTTGAAAGCCTGACCTGCAAACTTTCCAAGCTAGACCATTTAATATGAAGTTGTGAAATGGTTTATACTTAACTTAATTTACACAGCAGTCACTACAAACTAACACTGATTTTCTTGCAGTATGGACCAATGTTTCTAAATACTGCAGACTATTTAGTTGGGTCACCCACAGCTCTAGCTTCACAACCTGTTGAAGATGCACTACGAACTGCGGCAACTTCCCATGGGCTCTATGTCCCGGCTGGGGCTTTCTGGGGTGCAGAAGATATACTCAAGATGGCAGACAGAGGGACACTGAAGGTTTATATTTTTGCTTCTTTTGGGAAAATTACTTGTTTCCTTGGGTTTAAGAATTAATCACATTTTAAGGTTATGCAGATTATGATTTTTTGTTGTTGTCTAAATAACAGGGTGAAGGACCCATGCAAATTACAGTAAGTAAGGCAATTATGAGGGACTGAAGTTGGAAAGGGGAAATTATAATAATTTTCATCTGTATAAAATATTTACATATAATTATATTGATTATGATATTATAGGAACAGACTTTCTGGCTATTTATATATAATCTAAACAAATATTCAAGTATATGGTAATTAAACATCAATGCAACATCATCTTGTAATAAAATGCTCTTTCCTTTAGCACAGAAAGCTAAAGCTAAAGTCTAAAACCTTCCATGCAAAGTCATTTTCCAATTGTTTCCTTACAGGGACTAAAAGTTACCATGAAGAAGCATCCAAGTTGCTTCAAGTTCGAAGGGGAACTCAAAGCAAAAAACGAGCAAATTTGTGGCACTGAAGCAATAACTCTCTACGATGGACCTGTACGAGGCCTTTGTCCCCTTGCGCCTAACAATGTCAACACCATGGCAGCCGCAGCAATGGCAGGACATAATCTGGGCTTTGATGTTGTGCAAGGCTGTCTGGTATCTGATCCAAAGTGAGTCCTGTGCAACCTTTTTTTACAAGTTTATTATTATTATTATTATTATTATGATTACGACTATGATTATGACTATGATTATGATTATTACTACTGCTACTACTACTGTTACTACAACAACTACAGCTACTATTCAGGTTGCTATTAATAACTTTATCATTCATCACTTAATACTCCTATAGAGTGTAATAAGTTTGACATACATATATGTATCATCTTTAATGTACATATACTTTAGAGAGTATTTACATCAACTTTTCATATAATAATACTTAAATTTGAGAAATAATAGAAATCAGTGAAGTAGTCAGAATAAAATTTGTATTTCCATTATCTCTGGTAATAAAAATTCTTTTTATCAGGCTCACAGACTGGCACATAGTAGAGGTTGAAGTTACAGGACCACAAATAGCAGGAAGAAATTTCACCGTGAAAACCACCCGCAATAACCCAGCTGACCCGGGGGCGGTTACTGGCAGCGCAACTTATGGCTCCTTCCTCTCTTCAGTAGTGCGGGCTGGCGGCAAAGGGCCTGGGGTTCATCTCTGTTAATTTGGAAAAAATTATGGCCCGGCTCTCTAAACTGGTGTTTGAATTCTGGAAATTTAAACATTGTCTCTATTTTTATTATCATATATATTTGTTTTTTGTTGTTATTATTGCTGCATCTTACGACTTTTCTTTCAGTATATTGCATCATAACTATTGGTATATTTATTGTTGTTTATTTAGTATGATAACTTTGAAAACAAATTGGTAAAAAGAAAAATATGATTCCTTACATACCTTTTATTTGAAATGCTAGTATATTAATTTAGTAAGTATAATAAACTTCAATTAAATCTAATTAATAATGCCTGGAATTCAAATAAAATTGCATATACTGCATTTGGTACCACATCTTATGGTATGTAAAGCATCAGAGTAACAGGAGAGAGAGAGAGAGAGAGAGAGAGAGAGAGAGAGAGAGAGAGAGAGAGAGAGAGAGAGAGAGAGAGAGAGAGAGAGAGAGAGAGAGAGAGAGAGAGAGAGAGAAATAGCTCATTTTTGATATGTGCCTCAGTTGTGGGCCTCATTTTGCATGCTGCCTATGCTATTTCTGTCACATTAAAATTGTGTTATGTATTACAATTTGCAGTCTTTGTAATTCCTACATGAAGAATATTTTCTAAATGGTCTAACACCTTCAGTCCTAGGAAATGCAAATATTAATCAGAATTATTCAGATAAAAATGAAATGGATTTCCATAAAAAACATAGATATTTAAATATTTTTAAAATTCATTATCTTCTATGCCATTGTAACCAAAAGGTTACTCCCTAAATTCAAAACCAATTTTCCTAAAATATACAAATTACAATACTTTTTCTCACACATAGTTTAGTGTTTACTGATTACTTCACCCAAAGTTATGACTCAAAGTGTCTTCAGGTATTTTCCTTAAAGTTCTTAAATAGGCAGGTGTATCTTCTGCAGACTTCTTAATGAACTGGCCAGGAATGTTATACGTGACTTGACAGATCTTGCTTTGAAGTTTATCAGTGGTCTGAGGTTTGTGCCAATACACCTCTTGATTCTGTAGGCCCTTCACAGCCTGTCCATCATGCTAGTAAGTGCTCACCGAGCAAATCCCTAATAATCAAGTCAAACGTGGGAGAGCACCATCTTGTTTAAACAACAGCTCATATGCCTGTTCTCATGTGACCCCATGAAAGTTTGAAACATTTATAAGTAATATCTAATTTTTATGGTGTCCTGTTCTTACAATGTAAGATGGGTTTAGTAAATAGGATAACTTTCATTATTCTATCATCATTTCTAGACTAGATCAAACTTTACAATGCTCATTAGGAGACTTTGATGAGAGACAGATATTGGTAGAATGATGAGGAATATATGAGAAGGATGAAAGCACTGTCAAATGAAACCTGTGAAATATTACCTTTTTCTACTCAAACAATCACCCTGTGAAATACTACTCTTTTCTGCCTGAACAATGAACCTGTCCAAAATTCTGGCATACAGTCATGTCAGGCATACAGCCATTTTCCTTAAACTGTTCAAGTATTGAGAAAATATGCACCCATTAGACAGACAGCAGGCAAGTAGCACAGCAAGAACAGAAAATACAATGACTTTGCAGATGCACTAAGGATTCCTCTTTCGACAAAGCAAAAACTGAAATCTGTTTTAAAAAAATCTATTATGGATTTGTTCAAAGTGCCATGGTTTGAAATATTCTGACAGATTTCTATGATGGGAGACCTAATGAAGAGCAATAATGATTACAAAGGAAGGCTATTTAAAAAGATATCACCATCAGTGATCAAAACTGCATTGGTTATAAGCCAGGTTCCAACTTATTAACCAATACAAGATCTCCAAGGGAAGTAGATTAGAAGGCCAATTCACTTGCTTGTAAAATTGTGCAATACTGTGATCCCATTGAATTATGTTCAATATATACTGTATAACTCCAACATCAGTTTCTGAGGATAAATATATCATATTCATGTTTGCATCGTATATAAAATGGTATGCACTCTATTCTACACAACTAAACTTATTTGGACATCTTTGAAAAAGAAAGAAAGAAAAAGAATTAGAAGATGAAGACAACCAAATATACAGTACACATTTCACAAATAATGCCAGAATGTATGTGACACCTTTCATGAATTCTTCACCATCTTCAATGACTTTCCTCACCATACTGAGATTATTACATCATACATTTAACATCGAGGAACAGGGAGTGAGAAAGAAACTCAAGACTATAACAAATGAAGTTCCTCCTCCTTGCATACCCAAGCACAAGTAATACCCACCAGACTATGACAACTTCAGAAGCTAAGGGTGAGTGAAAGGTCAAGAATTAAGTCAAGGTTCACTTGGAAACTGTTGTAAAACCACAATTCATGGCATACATAAGAGATAATTTCTCAGAATAACCCTAAATCAGTGATCTCTTTCTCTATGTTAACTGTGACGGCTCTAGCAATGCACAACTTAAAGTAATATATTTTACGCTTTAAAAATGATATATAACAAAAATCTATTTATCACCCAAACAAAAAGACTGTTCTGTTGAATGTAGAAAATGTATGAATGAGAATGGACATCTTCACAAGAGATATGTCTAAACAGTTTTGAATATTTCTGACTGAGATATATTCGAAACCAGCAAAATACATCTCTTGCATTCTGAAAATATTCATTCTCATTCATATATTTTCTACGTTTGTCAACATGAATACAGTTCACTGTTCTGTTGAAGTAAAGAGTTGTAAAAATTCTTACTGAATGGGTAACATCCTCTTCTTTTATTTATTTATTTATTTTTCTGCATTTCTGGGATCTTTGTTACAGTATCCCTTACTCTGCTCTGGGTTCACGATCTCTCTCCTCTGACATCAACCACTGCCATAATCAAAAGGGTTGTTGCTTGTTAATGTTGGTGATCTGTTTTTGGAATCCATGGCTGTGCTCTTAAAAAATTTACAGAAAATTTGATGATACATACTATAGAAAGATTGTTGCCATTCATCTATACTTTTATAACATAGCCCAATGTAGGTTCAAAACTTCATATGAAGATAAATATCAGTGAGACAGTGATTCTTATCTAAAATATTCTTAGTAATATAGTATAGCATTTTCAATTTCCTCAGATAAAATTATGCTGAATATTTATGCTATTCTTAACTTGCTTATTCTATTTTTTATTTTTTTTTTTTTATTGAAATAAATCATAATAATATCCATCTACACATAATGATGATGTTATCTCAATTGTGGGGATTTTACAAAAACTAGTTCTTAAAAATATATGTCCATGAGACAATTTCAAGAAATAATTCCCTCAAAAAGTAAAATATTCATACATGAAAGAGTTAATTAAAATAAAATGCTAGCATTTTGTCTGTTTGATCTAGCAACATAATTCAAATAAGGAAACTTTGTAAATTCAATATAATTCAAAATTCAGAAAATAGAAATTTTCATAACCAATATTGACTGTAATATGAATAATAGGACTTAATATTACTTGAAATTCTTTTATCCTAAGATTATCTGACAACCTCTTCCAGATTATGTTATAAAGGAGCACTTTCTCCACTGCCCTTGTGGCCTTGTATGAGTCAGTGCTCTGGTGAAGACCAAGACTACATCATAAATTCCAACAAGAAATATCTTTCACCTAGCAATTCATCCTCGAATAAGGAACAAATCAAAGCTCTGCATTTTCAAAATATACAAATATATTTCAATTGGATTTCGATAGAATTTATTTAATTACAAGCAACAGTACACTTTTAATAGCCAAAGCGGATCCTAAAATTTTATTCAACCTTTTAATATAGTGTAAATTGTCAAAGATAAAACAATTACACATTCCATGGCTTTTGATATTTAACTCCTCCAAAACAGGTCCTTAAAGTCTAAAATATATATTGATTCAACTATAATAAACTGTCAAGAAAAACTACATATAAAGATAATGCAACAAAACATGCAATAAGCTCATACACGAAATAAAGGAGACTGGATCTTTCACTTAATAATAATAACCACATTTTAGGATAATGATTAACAGGCCCTCTTGTAAGAATGAGATCCTGGTGATATTGATTATAAAATATATATATTGTTCAAGTTATAATAATATACTTATATAATAATTTATAATAATATTTATCTATATGGAAGTTCAAGCCATGTGGAAAAATACCTTTTCACATTAAACAAATAAAACTTCCGTGTATATAAATATCTAATTACATTTCGAGCAAAATAAAAGTGTAATTCAACTGTTATTCTTAAATTACCGCGAAAGTACACAATTCACTATAATTAATTGCGATGGAGCTCCATAATAATTGCCCCCCCCCTTGAAATTCCGTTTTCTTGCAAGTGTTGTTGAAAGAGACTGTAATTCTTTAGAGGAAAGACTTCTACATTCCTTTGAATATTTCCTGAGGAAAATTATATCCAGGAAATGTTTAGTTAGTATATCCCGAGAAAATAGTTTTAGTCTCTTGCCGGTAAACTACTAGCAAAAAACAAAACGCACTCACATACACATATACTCACACACATACACTATATATATACATATATATACATATATATATATAAATATATAAAATATATAATATATATATATTATAATATATATATATATATATATATATATATATATATATATATATATATATATATATATATATATATACATACATATACATAGGCGTAGGAGCCAGGGGGGCTGGGAAGCTGCAGACCCCCCAGTCGGGTAAATGCTGGTTGAATTCGGGCAATTTTGGGCAGACACTAATTCTCATTTTTGAGTATTTTGAACATAACATAAGGCCACTAGAACTAAACGAAACAGAAAACCATCGTTATTTTTCCGACAAGTGCAGAAATTTCCCGACAAAATGGCAGTTTAGCCACTGGTGGCATTCATCACAAATTTTCCTCTTTCACTCGGGCAGAAAATTTGCAGCCCCCCCCTAAATTTTAAATGCCCCTACGCCGATGTACATACATACATATATATATACACACACACACACACACACACACACACATATATATATATATATATATATATATATATATATATATATATATATACACACACACACACACACACACACACACACACACACACACACACACACATATATATATATATATATATATATATATATATATATATATATATATATAAATATACATATATATATTATATATACATACATATACATACATATATATTATATATACATATATATATATATATATATATATATATATATATATATATATATATATATATACATATATATACATATTATATACACACACACACATATATATATATATATATATATATATATATATATATATATATATATATATATATATATTATATATACATATATATACATATTATACACACACACACACACATATATATATATATATATATATATATATACATATATATATATATATATATATATATATATATATATATATATATATATTATATATACATATATATACATATATATATATTATATATACATATATATATATATATACTATATATACATATATA